GAGATATCAACATAATTTTTTTTTTACAATATATTGACCTCCATGACCTTTGAACTTTAACCCATGACCCCAAAATATCAGCATAATTTTGTCTTGTCATACACAACCCTCAACACCGAGTCACAATTTTATATATAAAATATTGTTTTTTTTCTCCACTAAGTGACCTCTGTGGCCTTTGACCCTGTGACTCCAAAATGGAATCAAATTATTGTCCCCATAGGATATGCTCTCACTCCATACTTGAGGTCCAACCGCCACACGGTTCTTGATGTAGACAAAAAATCTTATTTTCTACAATAAATTATCCTTTGGCTCCTTGACCCCAATTTACTAGCCAAATTTTTTTCTTCTTATACTTTATCATCCCACCAAGTTACAAGTTCATATGTCAAATTGTGTGCAACATATTGTAAAAAACTGTCTTTTTCAAAAATTGACCTCTGTGACCTTTGACCCCATGACCCCCAAATCAAATCAAAGTATTGTCCTCCAAGGATATACCTGCAGATCTTGAGATATCAACAAGGTGGTTCGCGGACCATGAGTCTCGCCTGAATTTGCGATCAATATTAAAACATGTATACGAACTTTCAAAGGCTCAAGGCCTTATATCACTTGGCCTTTTGACCCCTAGATGACCTTTAACCTCATTGTGATCACCCCACATCTGGTATTACCCGAGGATCATTTGAACTAAGTTTCAAAATAATTGAGAAATAGAGAACTGCAACCGAAGTAAAGAAAACCTATAACATTTTTTAAAACAGACTATTAATGTACTAACAAATTTGACCTTTTGACCCCTAGATGATCTTGGACATCATCATCACTCTTCATCTGGTATTACCCAAGGATCATTTGTACCAAGTAAAAAAAATAAAAGATGCGACGGGCTTCTACAGAAGCCCAATAATGAGGCTTTGGCAAATGAGGTTGGCTTTTCACCTCTAAATTACAGACTCTTAATTGGCGTTTTCAAGAAAAATATTTACATTATCCAAAGAAGTAAGGTATCATATTTCCTTGTACCTTGAATAAAAACCCAAACAAATAATTAAATGAGATTAATTAGCCTTCTCATTTAAGAATACTACCAGATTCATTGATACCAGCAGCACAGGCCAGCACTCAAAGGGTTAAGGAATAGAGAAATGAGTGCATCTAACATTTTTGTAACCACATAACCTTATTTCACTTGACCTTTTGACCAACAGATGACATTTGACTTCATCATAATCATCAATACGTCACATCTTGTATTACCCAAGGATCATTTGTATCAAGTTGTATCAAAAGTTGATTGAGAAATAGAGAAATGAGAGCTTCCTAAACAAAAACTTTAACGGCAGACCTTCGGTAGATTTCCCGCTTATTTTTAGTATGCGGCAAGTCTACCAAAGGTCTGCCGGAAGGTGTCCGCATACTTTGTACTTTCCTGGGGTGCCTTTGAAGTTTTGCCAGATTTTTTTTAATTAGCAGAGTTAGTTATTTGACTAACAGAAAGAATTAAGCATTAATATGACAAAAAAGGGCTATTTATAAATCATCATAGACAAATCAGAGTAATGAGTTGATGTACTTACTAAGAGGTCAGTCCCCTGATGAGTATCCTCCCCCCCCCCCCACCCCACCCCATAAATGAAAAATAGGGGAAAAAATGAAAATGCACAAGAACTTATTCATATATTCCTAAACATAAACTAAAATAAGAAGAATGAGGAAGAGGAACAAGAGGACAAATAATGAAGTAAGAAAAAAATATATCATAAAACGAAAATGGGGATGCAGAACAATAGGAAGACGGGGAAGAGGATCAGACAGATGAAAAGCAGGTGAAGGCAAGGATGAATGAGAAGTTGAGGAGAAAGGAGGAGTAGGAGTAGGAGGAGGAGGAGGAGGAGGAGGAGAAGGGAATATATAAGTGCAAAGTGGAATAGAAGAATAGTGGATGGAAGAAGATGGAGAATGAGCAAAGGGAGGAGTAGGGGGGAGGGTGGATGCAGTGCATGGAGCTGAGGAAATGAAGAAAAAGCAAGATCACTTTCAACTGCCCTAAATGTATACATCAGATCATTGCTATGCATTCATGAACTAAGTTTTTTTTTTACATGGAAATTTTTGATGGGAATCTGCCAGCCAGCAGTGTTATCATAAAGCAAACAGAATTAAATTCGGTTAAGAAATGATAAAGAAGCAGCATTTTTTGTAATATTTGAAATATGCACATAAATTAGCATATTTAATGAGTTTCAAAATTCTATGTCGAAGTTTCGAAGCCCCCACCCAGTGCTATCATATTAAAGACTGACTCCACTCCAAAAAAAAATTGTTTTTATTGAAAGCAGAAAAATCAGACAAACAGATCAAAAAAAGTTTGAAGCAAATCCAACCATAAATAAGAAAGTTATGATTTTTTTAATGAAATCTAAAAATTGATTTCAACAGTGATCTTTCATGCAAATTGGCAAACCTTGGTCATGTGTGATGACGTATATCATGCACTTCTCTGCAAGTAACTTATTATACCTTATTGTTTTATACCATCATTTGTTAACGCTTCAATGATAAACATAAGTCTCTTTCCGTCGATAAATGCACGGATTCATAAGCATGCAATAATTCATTTGTTCAAATATTGAAAAGCAATAATAATAAAAGCAATAATAATGGATTATGAATTTAATAAACAATAAACATGATTAGAAACGTACCTGAAATTGAAGATTTATCACACCTCTTGCGAACTTGCGCGCCGTACTTGGTGCGGCTACATTGTCACGATCACGTTGGTATTTTGGTTGCGCGTGCACGGTATACGAGTTTTGGCGCTCGATATCGATCTAGATCTCTACACGTCACTCACTGCCGAAAGGGGGCGTTATTCATTTATGCGCGACGATTCCTGGAGAATTTTGTCACACGAACTGTGTATTCGTACACTCCTGATACTATTTATTACCTCTAACGTGGACTTCGTCAAATTTTCCACATATTAAGAGAGCGCCCTCATTGGGCCACGTAAATGACGAAAATAATAGGCGTTCTAATCGTGGACGTCCACGATTCCTGTGTGTCCACGGTTTGAAGGTGTGTATTCTGGTGAAAGTCCACGATCGAAGGCATTTACACACGCACACACACACAAAAATCATTATTTATAAGAGAAGGAATTTAAAAAATAGAGAGGGTAGATGAGGTAAGTGATGTAACAAATTAAAAAAATGATACGCAACATAAGAACAGACCACAAAGAAAATTATGTCTGTCTCGGTTTAGGAATAAGATAATATGAAACAACATACTTCATAGGTTTACATTAAAGCATGTGCTTTCCTTCATGCGCAGACTCATGGAGAGGGGGGGGGGGGCAACGGGGCCAGGCTGCTTCCTCCCTGGCCAAAAAAAAAGATGGACCCACCCCCCCCCCCCATCCCTGCCCCCAAATATCCACTCTCGCTTTTTATCTAAATGTATCATTTCATTAGTCCTCCGATCTTTCAACACCCACCATCTCTTGCATCCTCTTTCTCCCTCTCATTTTGATCATTCAGATTCATCCGCATTTTCATGCAAAATATTTTCTTCATTTTTTCTCAATCTTTCTTCTACTCTTTTTACCATCTTTAATGAGGCATCGTGTCAATCAACACCAACGTTTCAAAACACCGCGTATTTTGTTCTGAGAGCGCCGACTCAGGACATATTTGTGGCGGCCTAGCTGGCGGGAATGTCATAATAAATCTGTCTTCATTCTTTCTCAATCTTTCTTCTACTCTTTTCACCATCTTAAATAAGCTGAAGAAAAGAAAGAAAATCAATTACAATATCACCGACGCTTGAGAAATAAATAGTGAGAGAAAGAGAGCTACAAGCGAAAACAATTAAATATCGCTGATGTTACCGGAGTTTATGACAAAAATTAAGCCGTCGGAAAGAAATCAAAGTAAGTCCATTATCACCTGCGCTCGAGAAACGCAAAGAGCGACCGATCGCGGGAGAGACAGAAGCGAAACCAATTAAATATCTGTTGATTTCTATCAATTCTTATGGTGCATTCTATATCGAAACTCTTCCGGCACGCAATATCAAGAAGGTAGTCGATCGATCTCGCCTTTGTTTGGATGGCCTATTCATGGGGCATTCCAGAATGCACCCACAATGCGCCAATTAAGTCGTTAAGTACCGCATTCTAGGTACATTCTAGGTACATTCTGGAATGCGGATTAACAGAACAATAGATTCTGAATAGGGCATTCTACATGCATTCCGAATGCCAGTCGAATAAATCCGTGGCGCCTTACCAATAAGAAAAATGTGCTATACCGGGACGTCATCCATAGTTTAGTGCATGGCACTATACCATGGATTACGTCATAGATATGCAATCGACCAAGATCAATGTGATATTAGTGTCGGCCCGGTCACGGTACGGTCGTCTGTGCTGCTATCACTGCACTCTACACTACTTCAGTGACAGTAAACATTATTGTTATTATTATTTTCATGAAGGTTGATCTGAAAAATATTAAAAAAAGAAATATATATATACAATACAATATATATTTTCAAGCCACTCGTGAAATTATGGATTCCTCGGTGACTGAATTTCAGAAAAAGCACTATTTTCTGAGGGGCGTAGCTATTCCTGCCACCTCGATCCGTAATTTCAACTAGAGCCTCTCAGTGCATGTTATATTTGTTTACTACTACCGGGCCGTTGGCTTCTCTCTTGTGCTGACTCTCATTTCACTTTCCCAATGCTTGATGTTGTCTATCCGGTTTAAAATTAGAAGGGTGAGGTGCCTTTTTTTAATGACTTGCTTGAACGCCTCGCGCAAGCACTCGGCACCTCGCTTCGCTTCTAAAAGTGTTTTTGTCTAACTCTCACTATCACCCCTGTACATTGTAAATATATATTTCATGATATGTTCACTTTGTTTTTGTGAAGGGAAATAATGTTTATTAAAATTAAAATTTCTATTTCTCATTACAGTGCTGAATCTCAGGTGAACAGTATGATCAAGGCCAACTGCAAGAGTCGTTTCTCAGCTCATGAACTCTTTGGCTTTGATATCATGCTGGATGAGACCCTCCGTCCATGGATTCTAGAAGTCAATATATCTCCAAGGTAACTAAGGAAAAAAATATTTAACAAATTTCGGGGCTACTTTTCAAGCTTGCTTGCATGAAAATAACACTTTATTTTGTTTTGCATTGAATTCTATGCAATTTTTTTGGGCTCTTTTATGACTTTCGGGGGCTCTTTTGGGCATTTCAAGGGCCAATTCGCCCTGAGCCCCGTGTATTATTTTCCCTGGTGTCGAGTGGATATGTCACCGGACTGGATCACAAGGTCCGAGGTTCGAGTCCCGTCGCGGCACTTATTAAAGATGCATAGAAGTACGTTGGCTCTCATGGAGAATTTGAAACCATTCAGTCACTGGCTTAAGCTATGGTCACAAATCATAGCAGCGACCGACCGATCAGTAGCCTGCTCGGTCGCTGCTGAAATAAGGCATCGCCCATGTATTTCTACCAAGCCTTAGGTCAGCGAATTATGACCTTCTGCACATGGAAACTGATGACCCACCCACTTTCACTTTTGAGATGTACTTGGATGTGGAATATATATAATGCTCAACACCTCTGATGGTAGATCTTAAAGTATATAAGCATTATATGCCCTTTCGGTTGCGCTACTCCAAAGCTTTGGAACAATCTACCACTGGACATAAGAAAAGCCTCTTCCGTTGTTGTCTTCAAAGTCTTGTTGAAGACAAACTTTTCTTCAGAAGCTTTTGAATAGTTTTTGATTGTGTGACTGTAAAGAAGCACTGTTGGGAGTTCTGCTTTCATCACAGTGCAGTACATTATATTAAAGGTAGCTGTGCTCTATAAATTGATTTAATTGTCATTATTATTGCCTCATTGTACTGGTAATTTATCCTTTGTCATGACAAATCGAGGGGCTACTCATACTTTGAGGGCTTTCTGCGAAGGTGTGAAACATACAACCCTTTGACCATCATATTATTTGATCACCTGATTTATGTTAACATTTTCCAACCTTATGTAAACATATTTGTGGCTTATACCCAGTAAATAAGATCGATTGATAGATCTGTATTTGAAAAATAAGTCAGAAAAAAATCTTGGAACCAGGAGAGCTTGGGTATTTGTTTCTAGTTCATCGTGACTGTGCCATGGACCAGTGATGGCCTGGTGGTAGAGTCGCTGCCCGGCAAGCAGTAGATGGCAGGTTCAAGTCCTGCTGGTTATAAGCTTATTTACTGGATGTAAGCCACAAATATGTTTAAATAATTGAAATTTCTCCCAGGAAGCATTACATTTATGTCAACATTTTCTAACTTCCTCCGTAGTCTCCATTCCAACGCTGAGCTGGACGTCCAGGTCAAAGGTGAAATGATCAAGGATCTCCTCAATCTGAGCAGCTTCATGATCCCTGATAAGAACGATGTCTTCACCGCAGTCCTACCTCCAAACGGAACAACAAAGTGAGTCAGAGATTGGATTTCAAAAGCCATCTAAAATTCTTCTTTTATAATACTGTCAAACCTGTTTGTGAGGCCATCCAAGGGAAACAGAAAAGGGTGTCTATTGTCGACAGGTGGCCTTTGTAATAAGTAGTACCGAGCATATCAGATTATGAAATTCATTTTTAAACAGGGCTCTAACGCCTCTCCAACAGAACTTATACAGTTTTATACACAAAAGTGCTTCTCATGTTTTCTGTCTTTGTTTCGTATGCTAATGTTTGGTTGGAAGTGTGATGTTTAGATGAACTATCTAGGGAGAAAAAGGATTTAGATACCAGTGGAGTCAGCTCAGTATTTTGTCTTTGACCGTTTATATCTCTTCTAGGATCGATTACAGTAGCGTGATCATGAAGAAGAATCTCTACAGCAATCACATAGCCAAAGATGAGCGAGCCAAGCATGCTTTCTACACACAGAAGCATATAGATGAGGTAAGGGGCTGTTCACATATTGTTTCATCGCTGGCAATACGCATCAAAACACTGCCCTTATCATTCGTGTACTATTCTAACTTGTTGAATATATGTATTGATACATTTTTGGTAGAGGTAGTGTGGTCTAGTGGATTTGTCACCGAGCAGTGGGTCTCATGGTTCAGGGTTCAAGTCCCACAGCGGCACTGATGTCTTTAGCAACACATTAATCTGCATTTGCCACTTTCCACCCAGGCGTTAAATAGGTACCCTGTAGTTGGACTTACAGATAAAGACCAGTTATGGTCATGCGATTGCATTGTGAAAGAAACGTTGTGGAATCGATCAGAAAATATAAGTATTGGTGTGTACTGCAAGGTTCTGGAATCATCAAAATGATAAGAAATTTGGCCCAGTCTTTGTAAAGTTACAAGCACTGTACACAGAAAGATGCATATGGGACTACGCACACGTGTGCGAAACGTGCGTTTATCTCTCACACACCGATAGATAAACTAATTTACCAAATATGTCAATTAGTAGGCGGTTTCCTGGCAAAATTTTTATCATCATGTATTAGTCAAAACATATTCTTTCACATGATTGGTAATAACAGCTTCCATTTCATTTTTTGAAATGGGGACGTTTCCAAAACTGGTTTTTACCTTTAACAATTATGGAAAGCCATTAGCTTCTATTAAAATATTTTGTAAAAGTCATTTTAAAGGGCATAAAATTTTGATTCAAATCATTCATATTTTCTATCATCAAGGATATTTCATGTTCTTGATGTGGAATTTATGAAAAGTCTAAAATAGTTGAATTTTTGCTTTTGAATGTATTTTATTTGAAGGCTACAAATGGCTCTCCATAATGTTTAAGTCCAACTTAGAGATAAGTTCACCTTAGGATTTTTGTGAAACACCCCCCTGATTTCTTGTCTATTTCTCTTTACCAGCAATGCAAGATGTCCATCCTTGACACGCTCACGCCCGATGACATCCGGCATCTGGTGCAGACGGAGGACGAGTTCAGTCGACGCGGTAACTTTGAGCGTGTCTTCCCTTGTCCGTCGTCTCAGAGGTACCACCGGTTCTTTGAGGCTCCCCGCTACTACAACGTTCTGCTGGATGAATGGGTGAGGAAGTACCACAGGCAACCTGCAAGAGGTGAGTCATTGTTTGTAAGACGCACATGCTCCGGGGACAAATAATCCACTGTCAAGGTTCCACACTAACTGAATTCTTAAAGGGGACGTTCACCTGATTCATATTGTTTCTTCTGAAATCTTCTGTTAAAAAAGTTTTGATTTCTAAGTTTCCCTTGCCCTTGGGAGATTTCTACTTTTTATTGCACAAGATTTGCAACATGCAAGAGGTGAGTCTTTTCTTGTACGGCACATGGTCCAGGGATAATTGACCCTGCGGCAAATACGATGTTCAGCAGTAGTGACTGTAGTCGGTATATACACTTTGTAGATAGGGTAATATGTGCAGAGAGCACCACAGCTGGTTCTAGGACACCTACCCCCTGGACATCCACCCCCCCCCGGATAACTACCCCCCCCCCAGACAACTATCCTAGGGGGTAGTTGTCCTAGGGGGTAGTTGTCTTAAGGGGTAGTTGTCTGGGGGGGTAGTTGTCCTAAGGGGTAGTTGTCCTTAGGGGTAGTTGACTGGGGGTAGTTGTCTGGTGGGTAGTTGACTGGGGGCATTATCCGGGTGTGGATGTCCAGGGGATAGCATACCTGCCAACCCTCCTGAATAATCCAGAATATCCTGGTTTTTTCTGGATTTTTAGGACCCCAAAATGTGGGATATCCGGGATTTTCAAAATTTCGATTTTTTTTTTTTTTTTTTTTTTTTTTTTTTTTTTTTTTTTTTTTTTTGGTGTTGCTTAAGCCAAATTAAGCTTGTTTTATCATATGCCGCGATGTGAGAGTTCACGTATTGCGTGCGTTGAAGGGCTGCATGATTGAGCAGTGAATTTGTATTCGCTTTTTTGCACAAATTTACCGCGTATTGCCAGTTACACTGCCGCTGCATGTGCGAACGCCTGTTAAGGGTACAGATTTCTTATTTTCGAAGACATACCATGCTAAAAATTCTTAATTCTCATTTTCAAATGTTGGCAGGTATGGGATAGGTGTCCGGATACGACCACAGCTTGGTGGATACACATATCACATGCTTTAAGAAACATATTGTCCCTACCGCAAATACGTTGTTTAACAGTGGATGGCGACCTTCCTCCCACATTGCGCTGGTCATCACATGCGCAGATATGAAACTTAGGAAAGCAATAAAGATTAGGTTTCTACCGGCTTCCACAGAGAATGTTCAGCCGTTTCAACTAAATCCTTATTTAACTTGACCACGTGTAGAAATGTGAAATAGGTCCAGTGATGGAAAATTTGATTCCCGTTGTTATTAGATTCCTGAGTAGACTGGACCTCTACTTAAATTGGAAATGTTTTATGTTTCTATGTAGGTCTTGCTCTTCTAGAAGACTACTGTATGGAAGGGATCCATCTTGCCACAAACAAGGACGATAGCCACACTGTAAGTCAGGAATAACTTCTCAATTTCTTATGTATAATACTTCATCATTCATCTGGTAAAACGTTTCTTGCAGTATGTTACATTTGTAGAGATTGCTACTCTTTCTGGTATTCATATAGACTATATAGAATCATCCTCCTTGTTCATTTCTTATCTTCATCATCAATGTATAGCTAGTCTCATTTAGTTTCATTATCATGTGTAGGTGGATGCATTATCAAAAACTCATTTAAACACCAATTTGTGGCTGTCAGAAGGATGCAAACATATGGATAGATGTCAGATGTATATTTCAGAGAAAATTCTTTCTTTGATTGGGGCTGCACGATGTTTTCATATTGTTTTGAAAGATATTTGATTCTGATTTTTGCAATTTTATGATGTTTAAGCTTCAAACAATATATGAAAATATATATTGTTGATCGCAATTAGAAGTGATTAATGAAAAAAAACCGTCATTAACTATATCATGTCAGGAATCCTTTACAGAACTGTGAAGTATTTTGACAAAGAGAAAGGCACGAACCATCTTACGGGTGGGACTACTTCGCTTCTACCTGATGAGATTTAGCAGGCTAGGAAGGAGGTGTCAGGGGGGCGGGCAGGGGCGTGTCGGGGGCGTGACAGGGGTGGTGCCTTCACATTGGTGCAGGGGAGTGCATCTTGTACTGTGGAGCAAGCAAGCAGATCTTCCATGAAGTTACATGTATGTAAGATGCTCCAATGTATGGACCAGGACAGTTGCTCTGGGTTTTATTTTGTCGAAGGCATAGCGTTAGGATTATGGTTGCAATTGGGCTAAAGGGTAATCAAACCCTTGTGATATGTTCATTTGAATGAAAGCAGAAAATCAAAGAAACTGAATGGCAAAAGTTCAAAATAAATCAGAACTATGATAAGATAAAATCTACACGAAACCTTTCAGTTGGTACATCATCTAACTTGCAGACAGTAATACGTTATTGCTGTACTTACACAAAACGGGAAGTTGAAATATTGCCTTTCTGCCGTGTCCACAAAAATAGTTAGAGTCATCCTTGTGTATTTTTTCCTATTTTCATCATCCTTTTAATATCTATTTGTGATCATGCTCATTTTCATTGATCTTTGTGGCATCAGTGGAATACTCCTGTGTTTGTTAGACGCAGCATTGTAAGTAGTCGATCTACATTTCATCCCCGATAATATTCCCTTTGAATTTCTAACCTTTTCTAATGTGTTGGATATTAATATGTAACGTCAAAGGTTTTGGTGGTGAATACATCAAAATCTATCTCAGAAAAGCATAAATCCTGTTGACTATTTTGCAGTCCTTTAAACAAATTTAATACCAATTCTAAATGTATATATGTTTAACATGCATAGATGTAGCATATTGAAATATGATACTAATTATATCCTACTATGTTTAACATGTAGTTGTAGAGTAATAGAGTTTCGTTCTAATTTTATCCTTATCATGCGGTACTATTTTTCCTCACATATTAGGAATGTAGTTAAATGTTTAACTCGTACCCGAATGTGTCTTTGTAACTGTCTATTGTAATATGATGAAAAATAATGTTGACATTTGAGTTTGTAGCTAATACTGCGTCCTTTTGCATTAAAATTTTCAATTAAATGCAACTTGAAAAATTGAATTCTAGTCCTGAATATGCGATTCTGATCGGTTGAAAATCACGTTGCATTTAATATTTTAAGTTTCGCTTGAATGCAACTTTATATGCAAGAGGACCTTTAATATATTAACAATAATAGTCTATCCGAATTGTGTGAAGTGTTGCAGGTTAATTGAAAAAAAGTGCTCAACAGACTTCTGCAATCGGTCCCTCGATTGTGCTTATTCTGTTCGAAATAATTATAAAGCCTAAATTATTGATGAGAATCTCTCCAAACTTCTGGGGTGTGGGGGTTTTTCACAAAGATATCTGAATTGAATTTATCTCTAAGTTGGACTTTGGCATTTTTAAAAATATTTTGTAAAACTTATTTTAAAAGGCATCAAATGTTGATTCAAATCATTCATATTTCCTATTATCAAGGAGATTTCATGTTTTTGATGTGGAATTTATGAAAAGTCTAAAATAGTTGAATTTTTGCTTTTGAATGTATTTTATTTGAAGGCTACAAATGGCTCACCGAAATGTTAAGTCCAACTTAGAGTTAAGTTTGACTTAGGATCTTTGTGAAACACCCCCCCCCCTTAAATACACTTGCATTACGGTTAATCAACATCTGCATACTTCAACTTTAGCTTGTACAATTAAAAGGAGTTGAGAATCCCATTTAGCTCTTCATATTCAAGTCATTTGTAAAGTCATGCGTAACTTTACGCACAGCTTTATTAAACACCCCCAGACCCATCTGGATGACATTCTTTCTGATATTACACTGTATAGATAGATAAACTCAAGATAGAAACGAAAAAATGTAAATTTGATTTCTTTTCTTCTTGCAGTGGACTCCGATCTCCAGCGTAATCAGCACGCGAGAGCCGCGCACCTCGAGTGCTCCCACCTCTAGCTTTCCAATGCCTGTGCATCCATCGTTACAAAAGAGGTTAGCGTCAAGGTCTTTTATTTATCTTAAAGCCCCACTGTCCTACTTGTAGCTACTTGCTCCCTCTATATAGAAAACTTACCCAATCGGTGCCTGTTGGTCCCCCATGATCCTCTCTTTCTTATGTTAATTGAGAGCTGAGTTGATGAGCCAGTGACCTCGCTGGGTAGTCTAATCCCTTCTGGCCGAACTAGTACGGCCTTTAAATGCATCGTTTAACAATGTTAAATCGAAGATGCATGGCCCTATGTGATATCAGTGATATGGTGAAATATTGAAGCCCCCCAAAAAATTGCGCTTCAAAATGATCATGAAGTGCCTCATAAAATAGTAAACAATTTTTTTAGTGTAATTTTTGACGGCTACCATTATACCTTTCGTCTTTAGAAGCTCCTACAATTGGCTCTTTTTTTCTTCTCCCAAACCATCTGCAGCTCCTCCGCCAAGTCTCTGCCTAAGATACAACGAGGAGGCAGTAAGATGCGATCCATGTCATCCTCCAGCAGTACCCACTCCCTCCCTGGTGGGGGCCGCGCCCTGCCACGCCCGCCTTACTCCCACCGCGTCCCCGACGGAGGCTGCAGCACCAGCACCACCCCGCCCAGTTGATGGGGGCCACGCCTGCCCTCCATGCCCCAGGATCAGATAGCCTCTCGGCAGTGGAAGCAACCCAAGAAGCTCTCGGCATCAGCGCGGGCGTTGGCCAGACACCACACCCCCTCGCTGAGAGTCAGGTACGGGTTCCTCCTGGCCAGCGCCAAGCAGAACGGACTTCCGCCCGGCGGCATCCGAAGCAGATATCCTAGACGATTACAGAGACTACCCAACCTCCCCCACCAACCAAAAATGTGAAGTTTCCAATATTTTCTGTGAAGTATTTCATTTACAACCTAATACATAGCCATACAAATTTTTTGTCTTCTTGAAAACATTTCCTTATCTTTATACTCTAGATGTTGATCTTGTGCATTTTCATTTCATTGTGTAGTCATGTGTTACTGGTAGTTGAAGATTGCTCCTAATTTCTTCTGCGTCTGTTTGTATCGTAAGATATCATTTGCCGAGAACCAAATAGTGTTAACATTCAAATTATTTATTTAACCATAATCATAAAAGACATACAAACAATAATACAAAAATACAGTATGGAATATGGACAGGACCCGAAGAAAAGCAAATTCTTGTGAGGAATAGCCCTGAAAGAGAGGGAAAAACAATGAAACAAATATTGGGTAAATACAGAGACAAAGTAATCAATAATAGAACAAGATCAATAGAGATGGTATGAAGTTATTATCTTTCCAAGTACTTGCTCCTCTGAGAGCCTAACTTCCTTTTGAACAAAGAATACAACCATTTTACCAAAGCCAAAAGTGAAAGCACTTGCTGTTTGTGATATGTGCCATTGTTATGAGGACAAGTGTTGGAGTGAAGTAATATTCACCATTTTCAAAACTAGATTGATATCAGGTTTCCAAAATGAGTTCTTTTGAAATATTCAAAGACTCTGCTTGATGATTTCATATGACATTTGCTCATTAAGGCTGACATATATATTTTCTTCTTGACGTCTAGTTTTGTGTGTTTGTGAGATCCGTATTCCTCCACATATACTATGCATGAGATCGATTGCGTCTCAGTTACTTACCAATTCCAATGTAGTAGTATTCACTTTTTACTATTTGGGACACTGTATTCTCCAGAACACTAGCCAATATTTCACTCGACTCCTGCCTCTCTTGTGGAATAGGCCTCGTTAAAAATTACCGGTATGTCATTTACCTGTTACAAATAATTGTATATCAATTTTCAGAATGCAAATTGCATATATAACATGTTGTTAGGTAGGCCAAGCCATAGTGTTTGCCCTACCTAGCAACAACTAATGTATGCATTTTTAATTCTGAATGAAATAATTTGTATTGAGGATCTTCACAAAGACATGTGCATAAATTGGTTACATAACGAAAATGATATGAGATCTTTAGAGATGTTTTATTAAAAATATTTAGAAAAGGCACACTTTACAGCAAACCATTTCTTCTGCGTCTTTTAACGTATGATCATGTTTAACTCTCGTCTTTCATAAGAATTTGTTTATTAGTAAAAATCATGTTTGATTATATAATCCTCATGAAAGATATATATCTCATTGATTTACTTACAATCATTAGTTTCTTCCGAGCTAATAGCAATACTTTCACACAACACTACAATGCCAAGTCGCTCCTTTTTGAAGATCTAAATCTAATTTAGGCAAATGAAACAGAATTCTTAGATCAACATCTTTCATCGGTCTACGCATAATCTGATCAGAGATTTTTTCTTTCTTTTTTGTTGCTATAGCATTCCTCATACCTTGTTAAGAAGCGTACATGTGTGTTATTGTGTTTGAATATATATGTATCTGTTCTGTAAATGTTTTCATTGAACGCCATTCCTAGCAGTGCCTTGAAACATGAATTTTGAGTGGATATTCTTGTAAATGTAAATTTATCTATATATTATACTTCCTATAACTTTTTCTATGCTGTATCAAATCTGTTATTATGTATCACATGTTTATTTTGCCCATTCCTGGATGTTATGGGAAAACGAAAGCAGACATTTTTACAAATGTCAAGGAAAGTCATTGAAATGATGACGTTTTAATGACATTTACAGGCTTGTGACTCGATCTTCACCATCACTTGTATGAATTCTCTTCTGCTATTTAAAGGTGCATGCATCTTTTCTTAAAGGCCCTATCCGATTGAAAATGCAACTTGATATAATTGGAAAAATGAACGAACATAGAATACAAATATAAAGGAATAACAAGTATTTACCCTTTTATTATTGCACAAATGCAAATTATAATCTCATTTTCCGCACCCCTCCAAATAACGGGTCAACAGGTCAAATTTGCCAAAGTTACAGTGATGACATAACATGTAGACCCCATCGGTTCATCTATATAGCTGAGGCGATAGGCCTTGCTTAATTAATGCAAAATCGTTGTGAATATGCATACTCCACATAAGATGATGTCATCAAATCTATAGCAAGTTTTGGGGTCAACAACTTCTGATTTACATAGCTTTGGGTTATGAGTTTTCAGAGAGCTGATACTCCTCTGACAGACACTAAAATGGCATATAATTGATATTATTGTAATCTATGGCTTATAAGCTTTCCATTGATATATAATTCATTCTTTTCATTTTTCAGTTCGAAAATGGTCTTTAAGTATTTCCATGGTCATGGTGAATTGTTTTCCTCCAAATTCCAAGTCCTACAAATTCAGCTTAGACTGAGCTGAAAACCAGAGTCGGGTTTCAAATTGAGTAGAATAGATGACTAATCTTGTTTAGATTGTGTGTCACCGGTTGTTGATATTACATCCTTTGGAAATCAATATGAAATTCATTATACTATTTTGTTTGAAGGACAGGTTTCACATCGTTGCAAGAGCACTTTTCGTTTAATAGGTATCATGTCACTTAGTTTATCATTTAATCCTTTGTACTGTATTCTACATCTGGTTTAGGTATATGCATGTTTATAATTTATTTTAATTCTGATATTGATAGTTATATTTGTCTTTATCGTGGGACACAGTATCTGTACTTTGGCAACTGTACCGGACGTGGCACTAGGTTGTTTAATAGCCCTAATCATGGTGGTTGGGGAGGGGGTCTTAAAGGATATTTAGATAGATAAATTACTATATGTGAGGTGAGGTTTAAGATGCATGTTCAGTGGTGGACTGAGGATTCATGATCAATCTTGGAAATTAGAAGACTCTAGCTGTTTTTGCAGTGTCCGTCCCAAAGCTCCACGCTAACTTTATTCACAAGGGGTCAAGGTTGACATACTGTATTTAGGGACCGTATGGACGGACCCCCTCTAAAAGAAAATTCCCCTTTTCATATATTCTGCTGACTATTTTTCTTCTTTTTTTAAAGAATATTCTTCTTATTCTTCTACTTCATGATGCTATTGACATCTTTGTTAAAACTATCTGTTATTTGTGTATTTTATAAAAAAAAAATGTTTTTTATTTTCTTCCTCTAATCATGTCCTGTTGTTCAATTTGCATTCTTTTTTTTTTTGCCACTCGCCTCTTCCTCCTTTTATTTCAGTTCACTGTTCATTCTTTTTTTACTGTTATTTTCCTCCATCTCTTCACTCTTGCTAAAGAAACCTTTTTACAAACAGACAAACATTCTTCAATTCCAAGACCATCTCCTATCCAGTGCTTGATTCAAAGAAAACCCCAGCCCCCACTTGTTCATGCATGAATCCTAACCTCAATCTCGCAAATGACACGGTAGCAGAGACTTTCGGCAATTTCAATAGCTTTGCTCGTCACCGTTTGAAACGGGCAAACATGTCATTGACATAATCACAAAACCGAACAGTACGGTATTGAAATTGCCTCGTCACGGTCTTGACTTCTTGGCCCCGTTTCACAAAACTTGTCATTGGTGGCAAATGACAGTTCGTGTTATAAGGTACTGAAATCCTTGCTTCTGATTGGGTATCAGCAGATTTGTCACTGATTTTAGTCATTTGTCAATGAAAAAGGTTTTGTGAAACTGGTTCCTGGAAGTCTTTGCGATCGTGTTTGATTCTTACTCCAGTGGTATAGGTGGCAGGCGGCCCCGAACAAGGTTTTAATGGTGTAAATATTCACCCTTTTTTTAAAGTGTTTTGGGTGTGTGAGCATGTTCAGATTCTTTTAGAACACAGTGGTGATGGGAAGACATATTTATATTCAGTGGTGATCAAGGTGTTTCGGTTTGATATTTTGATATCACTAGGCATGTCTCCATCAGCTCGAGTTTGCCAAATAACCCACTATTTTAACTATCTCGATCGCAAATTAGCCAGTTAATTTGTGTCCTCATCAGCCTGCAGTTGCAATTAGCAGGATATTTGGTCGAGAAAATATCCAAAGAAATCTTGGTTTTGTTTCCAAAATAGCGGGCTAATTTGTGCCTGGCAGAGGTAGTTTGTCATGAGCGTATCGGTCTAGTGAAGGCGTAATTCAGAGATTCGGGATAATATCCCGAGTCTGAAAATAGCGGGTTGCCGTATTTGGCAAACTTGAGCTGATGAGGACAGGCCTCTTGTATTAAAGGGTTTGAGGTTTGTTGATATTTAAAAGAATACATATTTTTAAGTATTTCTTATTGCATTTGGGATTTCCGCATGGTACGGACAATTTTTATTATTTTCTAAATACAACAGCTGCAGTTTAAGATGAATTTTAATAGTTCAGAATACATTCAGAATTTTTTGATTATGAGTAAAGATATTTTTGCTTAGATAATTGTACATTTTATTAAGTGCACATTTTATCATGCAGAGTAAAGATAGAGAAAATATTAAATTTATATGTTTTTTTTATAGAGTGATTTAGAACAAAAAGCTGCAAGTAAGTGATGGGTGTGCTTTTATTAGCAGCTGTATTATTATCAATGAGTTACAGTTTATTTACATATGTCAAAAATTGATGCAGGAACAATTGTCCCTGAAGTTATTGATTTATTGATATGCGACTGTCACAGCTAACCACATCTAAATCTACCGATATCCCCCAAAGCATTCCAAATATGTGAGCAGAAAAGTATATTTAAACTTCATATACCACATCTGCCCATTTTAAGTTGTCTACATGTATACATTTGACGCCATGAAGATTCAAAAGAAAACAGCATTAAAACCATTGATTTGGTAAGTTGATGAATTCAAAATTACCACTTTCCTTAGAAATTGTGAACATTTTTGGTATTACATTGTATTTCTATCACTGTATCTTTTTTTTTAAAGATGATTATTCAGTATTCAAGATGTATGGCAATGAGAGAAAGCATTATTGTTGCCAATTTGAAGAAAAAAGATGATCAAAATTGTTCCTTTAAAGCCCAACTGTCCTACTTGTAGCTATACTTGCTCCCTCTATATAGAAAACTTCCCAATCGGTGCCTGTTGGTCCCCCATGATCCTCTTTTTCTTATATTAGTCGAGAGCTGAGTTAATGAGATGGTCACCCGTCAGTGACCTCGCTGTGTGGTCTAATCCCTTCTGTCCCAGTAGTGTTGACAGTCTTTAAAGCTTATCTGTACTAGTTTATAGGAGGGATTAGACCACACAACAAGGTCATTGGACAGGTGGCTATCTCATTAACTCAGCTCTCAACTAACATAAGAAAAAGAGGATCATGGAGGACCAACAGGCACCAATTGGGAAAGTTTTCTATATAGAGGGAGCAAGTAGTAGGACAGTGGGGCTTTAAAGG